GACTGACTCATTTCTATACCATTCTTTGTTCTCGTTCTCCTTTTCGTTAATCTTCTTAACCTTCTGTCATCAGGTGTGTCACTTCCGATTGATGCTACACACTACTTATATCTGTCAACATCAGTAGTACATTTATCACACTATTTATTCATTTTAACAATCATAAACCACATTCGTTGAATAAACTTTAATTCATAATATTTCTCTTACTTGAAATTGGATGAATTGATTCTATTGATGAAGGACGACGTGTATGAGATCTAGTAGATTTCATTGATTTTGAATTGTCAATTAATTTGTCATCGGATAAAAGATTAAGAATTTGATTTGAAGAGCTTTAAAACAAAGTACAAACAGAGTAAAATGAATAGAAGAAAGTAGTGTTTTTTTTCAATTACATTTATATAATGATACAAACTCTCCTCCTTTATCCGAGTTTGGAACCGGCAGTAACCCTAGAGGGATTACAGGCTTATCATATATTTTGTAGATTGAATGATACACATTTCATCCTATTCAGGACCCATAATCTAAGTATAAACTTACATTAAGACTCAAATTCACTAACCATTCCATAACTAGCTATGATACCCAAAATACAATAAATCTGTAACTAGCGGAGGTATCTAGACAAAGAGGATGTGTGTAAATAAAAATTGACTATATTCGTCCGTGAATTTCAAAAACAGGAAACCACAGACCGCTATAAAGAATGATATAAATAAATTATGATGTGTTTATTATGATTGTGTTTGATTGGCCAAAGAAAAGTTGACTTTAGGTTATCTACGACATTTTGTTAAAGTTATCCTTTGTTTGGGTTTTGTACCAGACGGTACACACGAGGGAGCACCAGTTCCCTAAAGATTACATGTACACCTTGCTGACGAGTGCCAAGTAGCACGAAACCCGGGTCCAGGGTTTCTTGTCGACTACCTCCAACCACCATCTAAATCTCAATATATAGTGCCCGCAGTTTCGAGTCACCTAGACTGGTGGCCACATTGCAACATGATCGATAGCATTCGATCAGCACTATAATAAGGACTAGACACGCATGACATTGATTGCCACCCAGTGATCAATCAATTGTGGGTACACGTTATCAAAGCATATCTAAAATTTTGAAGAACTTGTATCACTCCACATATAACTCTGAGACGATGTTAAATCACTTAGATTAATGGCTACATTGTAAGTTGATTGGTGGAATCCTATCACCACTAAAGGTATGATACTAGTTATTATTACTAAGTTACCAGTCAGTTGACACACTTGCTTTATTCCTAGCTATCGCACAAGACCATTGAAATAAAATCCAACTCTTAGAGCTAAAGTTGTTAGGACAGAATGGGAAGTTGCAAGTAAATCATTGAAATTTTAGTGTTTATACCAAATTTAAAATGTTATATACATGTGCATTCACCTCTTTACCGTTTACAAATATAGATTAACAGCATTCATATCACACGACACGAGATTAGTCTACGGTATCATTGACCATTGATTTAAATTGTGTAGAAACGGTACAGACATTTTAACTTTTATCTGAAATATAATCGCACTCTCTGATGGAAGAAAATAGGTAACATGATTACAAAGTCGATCTAAGTGAAAAGGACTTATTTATTTGTAGATGGTTTTTATTAAGGTAAAGTATTATTTGGAGGACAATTGAAAACTATGACTACTGAATAACTATTACATCATAGCATGGAATGTCCCTCTCTCTATCTGAGTGCATCCGTGACCTGTGTGAGATTAAACTAAGGACACTCAATGTTTCACTGTGAACTCATAGAATGTTTTCATTGATATTTCAAATGCTGAAAATCTGTAACTGAAAATGCGTATAAATTAGGTAAGTGTCTAAAAACAATCCTCAACTAGGATGTATTTATCCTTTACCTTACTAATGGTTAAGCGCTCGCGCGCGAGACTGATAGGCTCAGGTTTCGAATCTTGCGAGGCCAGACGATGGATGGGCACTGTTGAGGAGTTCCACAACAGGTCGAAATGGCCATCCAGTGCTTCCAGGTCTTCTATGGTGGTCTAGCTTCAATTGACCAATGAATTTAACTATTAAATTACTAGTATAAATAAATTGTTTTTGACCTAGTTAATTTTCTCTTATATTTCCACTTCTGTAAAATGGTAGAACCCAAATGGTTTGGAGTGATACCTCATATGTTTGAGTCTAAATATGAACGTCAACATAAAGCTTCAAGCATATCTTACTGACAAGTTTTAAATGGAAAGAAACATAGATCCTGAATTTCACTGACAAACACAATTCAGATATATTGAGATCAACTAATCTGTTTAAAATATAATCATTCAATGGAATAAGTAGCTAACCTTTTATTATTATTATTATTATCATTATCAAGTAGGTTTTTAAATGTGAATTTTCCACATTCTGATGGCGTTGGAGCTGTTTGAGGTCTAATTGAACTAGAGTTGTTATTATTGCATAACGTTTTAGTCGTTTGTATGTCAAAATCGAATTGATCCTATAGTAATTGTAAATAATAGCAAGAAAGAAAAAGAGTAAGGCATAAACTCGTTAATAATCGGGTAAAGTGATTAATCATTTCAAGTTGATCATATTTTTTTGAATATTGAGTAGCAGTAGAATGTAGGTTGTGTAGTTTATTTTATAGAGAAGTCATCAACTATCAATATCTACCATAAAACGGGGATCAAGTACTCATAGATCCTAAAACGCGTAAGCATCATCCATTAAAGTGATAGGTTTTGTTAATGATACGGTTTGTAAGTCCATTCTAATGACTTGTACTTTTCTGTTTTTGTAATGTTTAACTACTTGAAAGTAAGTATATTCAGTTTTTCAGTCCTGAATAGGAGAAAAACATGTACTACGAGTCCTTATATATATTTAAACACATAAAGATTGGTACAATAAGGCATCAAATAGATATGCACCACACAAGTCGCTTGATTTGTGTGTGGGCTGTGATACTGTCCGGGTGCCCAGACCGAAGCAGGTGGTTTTTTTAGGGGGCCACATCCCAAACCTTTGACCTAAAGGTCTAATTTGCAAGGCAGTGAAACAACGTAAGGATGTGGTGTCTGTTATTATGTTAAGCCCACATACCTTATTCTAGCTTTCGGACAGGCCAGTCTACTCATTCTACTCGAGTCACATTCTGACCTTGTTATTTATTCGCTTATCAATCTTGACTGTTTTTATATGAGCGCGTAGGTGTGTGCACACTTCTAATCCCGTTACTCATCACATGTCTTTAACTTATTTTTGTGTAACTATAAATATTGATTAACGCTTGGTTAAAGGGAAGTTGGCTTACCCGCCATCTCCACTGCACGTCGTTTCGCTTCTCTATATTCTATTCGCTGCATATAGAAAATATATGTATTCAAAAATCCATTCTCGTTGTTTGACTTATTTGATTCCCTTATTGACTAACGCGATTTCAGTCAATGATTATATACAAGGATAGACGATAACAAACATTCATACGGTCTAATTGGAGTCAGACTAACGGGCCACTGAAGTGGAGAGCCCTTTCTCGACAACATCGTTCGATCTAAATGACGACAAAATATCAGGCCCCACAAGGAGATGCAGTCGCATGGTAACCAGTGATCAACAACAGGTTTATACGCCATTCGTTTCCTTAGGATCCTGGAGCCCATGTGTAGCAGTGGTTTGAAACCAGGGTTTTCCAACTCCCCTATGTGGATTATCCATATCCACCAACCCAGGTAAAGCGCCAGGCATTTACTTTTAGTCCTCTCAATTTCGTAAACAACACCTCTTCCAAGAGAAGGCAGTGAGTATGACTTCTCTGGCGGTAGCTGTATGCATATGGCAATGTGAGAGCATTTCGAGAAAGAGAGAAAACTGACTCTCCCGACCCTTGTCCGTGGCAGGGCATTTGGTGGCACGAGTTCCACTGTAAGTTCAAAGTATAATCACTATGTAAGTATGGATAATATTGAGTTGTCAGCTCGCAAATAATGTGTTAAAATTATTACAAGGCAGGGAAACTTTAAGGACTGTGTTGGTTGGTACCAATTGTTTAAACTGGTGTAATTCTTATGATCAAGTGAGAATCTCTAATGGAAAATGGATTATTTAGTATAGCCCCTCCTTCATGAATAAACATCTATAAAAAGAACAACTGGTCAAAAAATCAAGTTTTTGTCTATCAAATTAACATATTTATTAAAAAAATAGTTAATATAGAAATAAACACAGCTGAAATTCGCTTTAGACGTAAATAATTTCAGAAAAACGCACAGTTATTAATTAACTTGTGAAACTAAGACTTAATTACCGGGCTTATTTTTAACACTCTATATCAGACTTCAACTAAACAATGGGAAAGTATAAATTCCTACAACATTACTTCTACGATATAATGGAGAAAGGCCGAAAGCAGCAATAATATAACCTTTAGATTTCGAGGGTATCTTTTATTGAATGAACAAAAGTCTGTGTAAATCAAGAGCGTCTTTCATAAGAAATAATTAAATCTGTCAAAGTATAGTATTTTAAGAATCGTTGTTAATTCCCTGTTTGATTATGAGGTTTACAATCGTATTATTATAGAAAGACGCACACCAACCTCACTAACATGAGTGCTGACATATTCACACTGAAGGCTTCTTCGTGAATTTTTGCTGTAGCCACAGGTATTTTAGGGAAAATTCATTATCTCCTACAAAATCCTAACTAACAAGTTAACTTAAGAGTTAGGAAGATGAAGTTACAAGACAACGAATCAAGAAAGCAATGAGTGAAAATTAATACCCATTTTAGTATACCCGTGGATGTGGACTAAATTCATCAATTTTTATCAACAGATAAGGCCATATGATGGATAAATTTACAATATTCATAGTTGAGTATTGAATATGAACTTTGATAATCATGGGAAGTGGAGTTCAAGACTAACAATGTATCTTAGTCTGGACTCGTTGGTTGGGAGTCCCCGGTTCCTAGCATTTAGCTGTTTGCCTTATTCCATCGTTGTTCTCATAGAATGTCTAGTTTGTCTATATTCATCATAAACTTAATGTTAAGATTTGATTCTGAAATTATTGAGAAAGTGTACACACGCCATAATAAGCGACAAAATATTTCATCGAATTACAAAGTTTGCTCTTTAGGTAATTGTGTTTGATAGAGACAAAGTCTTATGTCAACTAACACGTAACCCAGAGCTGAAACCATAGCTACTTTAGCATTCAATTAGTTGAGTTGGTTTTCAAACTCTGACATGGTATGTTTCTCACTAAAAACCGCAATTTCAATTTGTGGGTGATTAATAACAAGTCAATCTAAATGACTGACGAATATAATTTAGTCAAAATTTTAAATGAGATATTCATATATTTTTTCGTTAACAGGAGACTAAGAAAAACTTTCACGGTGTAAAATATTGAGTTTTTTCATATAAGTATGAATTTCTGTACTTACCAGAAAACTAGCTAGTGTAGTGATAAATTTATTAATCGAACAAAACATACGAAAAGTACATTCAATTAGTTAATTTTAAACTGTTTAGATGAGAATGTTTAACCTAGAAATATAGGCATTTTGTGATAGCTTAGCATAAAACGACTCAGCTTCTTTTTGTGTGTAGGTTGCAAAACAGAGAATTCTAAAGATTGCTGTTGAAATCTCATGAAAGTGTTTGACTAAGAACCGCAGATGAGGTTGGTTAGCGATATTTTGAGTTGAAATCAGTTAAGCGGATAAAATCGGTGTAGTATTTCTCGTGATGAGAGAACAGCTTGTATGTAAAGGTGAGGATGATCCTATCAAGGTTAAGACAGTTTTGTGCTGTTAAATCTACCGTCATAGTTTGACCAACTTTAGAATTTTTATCGAACTTTAATACTATCAGTTTGAGAAGTCTTCAACGTTGTTTTAAGGTGATAAACATAACATCCTTTTCGGTAAAATTTATGTAAATCAAGTCACCAACTACTGAAATTTGTTTGCGAAATAAGTGATATCAGAGCACTCTGTTGATAATTTGAGAGCTAGTCAGATGAGTACCAGCAAATAATAATGACCCATTTATTTTCATATTTGAGTATAGTACTTTTTCAAAAAAAAACACGTTGTGAATAAATTCTTCGTATTAAGCGAAAAGAACATGAAGTTAACAAACTTACAAAACCAGATGAGTCACCAAACTGCCTATCACCAGATACCTCCTGGTGTTCTTTTCCAACGTCGTCCAAAAATCGAACTGTTCTTTTAGGAGTCAATGAATTAGGACGTCGTTTGGATTCATCTACAAATTCAGGATCTAATTTATAAGCAGGTTTTTCTGTCTTTGCAAAAACAGGATCTGAAACTTTAACAGGTCAATGTGGTGATTAAAAATACCATCGAATGGGTCTATAAGGGCATCAAGAATGGTTTTTGAGGATTTTGTTTGGCTTTTAGTCTTTTCGGTGTGTCTTCCGAATTCTAGGCTGGAATTGGGATCACCATTCTGTTTTACAACTAATTAAGCAATTAGACATAGCCCTAAAAATTTTACCTGTCTTTCGAACTTTTAAGTCGTCTTTCTGATTAAGTGAATTTAGTAGATCATCGAGATCATCTGAATACGAACTAAGAAACTTTATAAATATAAACCTACTGTCTTCATGTACAATTCCATTATAATTGAACTACGTTGATGAATAATCATAATATAAAAAGACCTACTGGAGTATCTTCGTCTTCTATTTCTTTTGCTAGATCACTATAAAATGTTGACATATGTCTTATGGCAACGACGGGATAAACAAAACCATATTGTGCGCTTTAAAAAAGCAACAGCCTTCAGTATTTTACGAAATTCTATAGAATATAACAAATTCGAGACTTGATTATTATATTTTAAAAAAATGGTTGAAAAACTAATTTGTGAGCGTAAAAACAGTTTTGTAAGTTTTAGGAATTCTTAATTCACGTGTAGTCACAAAGCATAATAATTTTAGTAACATTGTCAAGAAGATAGATGGAGTAACAGTTCCAAGTTAGCACACTCCCTACTAAACACAGCCAGAAAATGATATACGATTCGTCACAAAGTGGAGTGATAAAAGAAGTTGAAGAAGTTTCTACTGTAGCGGCAAATAAATCCCTAAAATAAATAGCTTTGTAAGTTTTCGACATTGGATGCTGACCACATTAGTTTTAATGGACTCACATAGCTGAAGGCGCTCGGTCATGCATCCGCATCAGATCACGAGTAGGAACGCCGTGCTCAACATCTACTGTAATCGCTAGCCAGATTAGATCAGACAATCCTCGATATATTGATAGCTTATCAAATATATCTTCGAACCTCCTCGCTTCTGACTTTTCATTTAACTTGGTGGGTACGATTCATATTAAGTGTTACTGATGTCACTGTCAAACTCCGAATACCTGTGGCATCATCACTAATATCAACTGATGTTGCTAATATACCTAAGGCAACGGGAGAGGCTTATTAACTTAGTAAAAGCTGTTGATGTGACATATAAAGAAACAACTGAAATATAAACTACAACTTGTCATCTGCAACATAGTGCAGAGTTTTATAGCTGCGTTGATAATCCTTCGGATGCTTTGATGAGGACATTGTAAGACCAGTGGAATGTCCCTAACCAAACCATCCAGCAGTCATGTCACTGAGTATCGAACAACTTACGAACCTCGAAGGTGTCAAGGACAACCATCTTGCATCAGTCGATTGCACTCCATGGACTGACTCAAGCTTCAGTGGTCTCATTCTGTTCTTGTATCTACTCTTGCTCCATTAAGCCTCTAAATCATCAACACAGATCACCAATGTTGGCGATCTACAGTGATCTCCTTTTAAGTTAGTGTCTTTAAGACTGTCATTGCTGATTTCACCGTTAGTTCCGTTATTATGGATGGTATAGTACTTACCTTCGTGATGTAGAACTTTGAAGGATCCTTCGTATGCAGTTTAGCCGGGTAAACGTGATAGATTGCGGCGTACAAAAATGATTATCAGGTCGTAAGGCGGGTTGGAAGAAAATACCAGTTGACTGCTCTCCAGTGGAAACAGGCTTAACTATACGCATGGAGTTTGTAAGCTGTCTAGTTTAGAAATATAGATCCATATCCAGTGAATGAGATAAGGAACTCTTTGGACGATCCCTACCCGTGGATGTGTCACATAGCAAAGTTTTCTTACCTGTTCTATCTGTTAAATTCAGTTTCAAGTTTGTGAGAGCTAACTCGTGCTGAGGTTCAGTGCCCTCTTTTTTAAGCTCAGTGGGTTCGAGAGAACTGACTCCTTGCAAAATGACCAAGGAAGTCATATGAAAAAAATGTCTGCTACTAAATTGTTTGCGCCAGAAATGTGCTGTAGACCGGATAAAAGCTGAGAAATGTAGTTTAGTCGTCGAATCTCTCGAAGGGGTGCTAGTCTGAAGACATCGTGTTCCTCATGGTCTAAAGATATATCTTTTTCGTGATATGCATTTTTGGGGGGTTTATAGCGTTTACGATTATAATGCATTTGAATATAAAGAGTGAGATTATTACAAAGGTTTGCAATGTCATTCCGTATAGCATGGTGCTCTTGATTTACAGAATAAACGTCAGCGCTTGATGTTCTAGCGATCTCCCGTATCCGGTTGGCAGACGCAGTCATTTCGTTAATGGTGCTGTTTTGAAATGTGACATGAACCGCTTGCACCTTTTGGCGAACCTTAGACAAGAAGATAGGCCCTCGTCAAAAGTTTGTTAACCTTCCACATATGTAGCAAAATTTTGTTGCTGAGCTGTGTTACAACTTCATGTTTCGGACGAGCTGGTCCAACTTCTGTTGATCGATTTGATCCCTCTGTTTAAAGATACCCTGTTTTTAAGGTATCGCGAGGATGGGAAACCTCACTAGTAAACATTTTTGGTGTAAAGTATTTTCTACAGTCACGCCGTTGTGCCTTTATCACTGCTTGGAATAGCCCACGTGGATTTAGCACGCCGTATTTACGCGTGTCAGCATCTGCGTAGCGGAATCAGGCTTGAATTATGTGAGTTGAAAAGTCGGGGCATAAGAGTTTCAACTTTCAACAGTTTGGGTGTCTGTTCCACCATAATGGGCGTGAAATATATAAATGGTACGAAAAAACAGGAATAAAAAAGTAACATGATGAGTAAGAGTTAAAAATGACATAGTAATGGTACAACAAAGAATATTTTCAACTTTTCATTTGTTGAACCGGACGACACAGAGCTCATAACCAAAGGCGCCACAGATATTCAGGATTTGACAACGCTTTTGTCTGTAACGCCTTTATAATCGAACGAAACCAATCCAGCCAAGTCAGAAGTGAGATATGTAGGAGTTTGAAGACATATTTCGAAAGTTGTTGATATACCGAGAAGCGTTTGATCTAAGATGGCTGGTAGGGGTACGGAGTGTGTAGCACGGCCTACCACCTCGTAATCTGATGGGAATGCGTGACCGAGTGCCTTCAGCTATGATGAGTACTGCAAAACTAATGAAGTCAGTATCGTTGTCGAAGACTCAGAGAACTTTTTATTTTGGCATTTATCTTCCCCTATAAGCTATTCTGTAAGTTATAAATACATATATACCTATTTATTAAACGGCCAGTTTCTCGTACCTTAATATTCTTCGACTAAAAGCTTCCATTTTGTAATGTATGTTACAGACATGTTGGATTTGAAGTGCTTATATTTGCTCCACTTCATATAAGGGATCAGAATAATTTATGATGGTCGTTGTGTGGCTTATTATACACTACGGGAAGCTGGGGAAGCGAGAGGTAGGCATGTGAATCAAATAAAAATTTCATAATGCAATATTAAAAATTAAGTATCTTCACCAAGCAAGGAAGTGAATGCCTATTTTATCTGACATATTTCGGTCTTAATAAGGGGTTGTCGAGTAATTCATAATCACCTAGCTTCGTATGTTAAATCAACCTCTTCTTAAAATCACTGATTATTTTGGAAATATTATTGAAACCAATGTGTATGACTGCATATGTGATAAAACCCAGGATGGATTTATTACAACTTTATGTATGAATAAGTATCGTCCATTCATGTGCCGATCACTCAACCGGAATAAATGAGGCCCAACAAACTCATGAGTATCCCTTGCGCTTACCTGATGATCTTTAGGATACCTGTGGTTTATAATCAACAGTAAGTGTTCAATTTGTAGTGTGACGTCGAGTCGCCGTTGACTATGATCACCACTACAGTAAGACTGTTACAGGAGAACTGTAGACATTTGGCTGATTATAACCTTTTTATTGTATATTGATAATTTCACTGTTTTTGGATGCATTTGTTTTACGTAACGTTTGAACTTGTTTGTTTATATCATTATTTTCGATCATTCCGGTTTCTCTTTGTTATTAGTTTGATATTTGGGATTTTTTGCTCCAGGAACCTACAAAATTGAAGAACGACATTTGGGCCGACTATTTTCAAATTGCGAATAAACTTGGTACCTAATGTGGAGTTTGGTTCGTAATTTGCAAATCGATCGACATGCCGTGCTTCAATAACGGGAACGAGCAAACACTTAGACGTGACAAAGACTAGGTGCCAGTTAATCGAT